TACAATTGCTAGATGATCTCTGGCTATCCCAGGGCCAGTCTGTACATTCTTCCCTACAAGCTGATCCTATCTGCATTTGTTGGGATGCTGCCATGCCCACGTCCACTGTGATTGGCTAGCACTGGTTCTGTAACATCCCCCATCATGCACTCTGCTGTTAGTGCATGAGCTAACCTCGTGGGGAAATGTATTTAGGTTGCTGTTAGCAAAAGGCCCCGAGATCCAACCTCTCCAACACTTAGGAAACCAAAGAACCCTGGATCTGAGCTGCCCAGACGTTGGCTCTGACTCCAGCCCCAGGCTTTGCCGCTTGGCTCCATCTGGTTATAACGACAGCTTCACTTTCGCACATTGCCTGTGTGCTACAGGCGAATGCAATACATCCTCCTTCCACCAGGCGTCCCATAGGACACACCCCAGAAAACAGATGCACAGAGCCAGGGACTCAGTGGGTAAGTTGCACTTAGGGTGACCAGACAGCAAGTGTGAAAAATCAGGACAGGGGGTGAGGGGTAATAGGAGCCTATGTAAGAAAAAGCCCCAAATACTGAGACTGTCCCTATAAAATCGGGACATCTGGACACTCTAGTTGCACTTCTAAACACCAAGAGCAACAAAGCCCTCCCCCAGCCACCCAGCCTGAGGCTTCCCCGTGGATCCCTCGCTAGGAGAGGATCGAGCAGTCCTCTTCCAACTCAACCTTCTTGAGAGAGACTACACAGTACGCACACAGAGAAGACAGGCGTTCCTGCCTCTGCATCAGCAAAAGGGGTGCCATTGGCCCTTGAAATGCAAAGGAGACGTATAGCCGGCTTTGGCCACAGTTGCTAGAGACGGGCCCCACCGGATTCAAACACCCCTGGGTGGCTGGCCTCTGTCTTTATAATGGGCGCCACCAAAACCCCGCCTATGAAACGTTCCATCTCTGAGGGCATGTCTACATGGCAATGGAAGTCCAGGGTGAGTGGGACTCGAGCCAGCTGACCCATGTTAGGGGACCCTGGGCTTGAGTAGCTACACTGTATGTTAACCAGGCCCGCCAACGCGGGGTAATTGCCCAGGGGCTCGGGTGATTTAAAAGGGCCCAGGGGTCCCTGGCTGCGGGAGCTCTGGGCCCTTTTAAATCACCCGGGCGGGCTGTAGGGCTCCTAGGCACGCGGGGCTGGCACTGAGTTTCCAATCTGCCGGGTGGTGCTACCCCTGGCCCTGCCCAGGCCCTGCCCCTACTCCACCTCTTCCCCCAAGACCCCACCCCACTCCGCCTCTTCCCACCCTGCCCCTTCCCCGCCCAATTCTGCCTCCTCTCCCAAGCACACTGTGCCCTTGCTCCTCCCCTCCTCCCCCCCCAGAGCCTCCAGACGCCGCGAAACAGCTGATCCGTGGCAGGCGGTAGCACAGGGAGGGAGGGGAAGGTGCTGATTGGCGGGGCCCACGGCGGGCAGGAGGCACTATGGGGAGAGGGCTGCCCGTGGGTGCTCAGCACCCACCACGGAGATGGTGCCTAGGCGGGCGAAGGCAGGTGGGCGGGCATGTGGAAGCCCTGTCTGTGTTGGAAGAGCGCGCCCAGCAGTGCAGCCATCAGCTCGCTGGGCAAAGCAAAAGGGTTCGGACTCTGGGTCCTGGCTTGACTTGAGCTCCGACCCTCCAGTCCTGCAGAGTCCTGGGACCCTGGGTCTGAGCCCTGGGTTAGCACAGTTGCAGTGTAGACCCAAAGGGGCTTAGCCTGGAGCCGGGGCTCCAGCCTGGGCTTACATTGCAGTATAGACATACCCTGAAAGGCCACCCCCATTGCTTAACGGGCTGGACCAAAACCCGGGATCCTAACGGCCCTGAGAGCTGGGTCTGACCTTTGTGCTTGAACTCTAAGTTTAGAATGGGCTGAACCACCCCTCAGGTCTAAATCCACCCTCAACTCTGGGCACTTCTGGCCCAGCTGTGGACTTGGTATCTCCCCCGGCCTTTTCTCTGCAGCAAGACGCATGGATAATGCATCGGCACAGGGAACACGAAACAGAAGTCTGTTTCCTTGCAGGATTGTTTCCCTCCATCGGGATTGTTATTGCAGGGCTGCTCCTGAACACTGGGCCGTGCACGCTCATTTAGACTGGCGTTGCGCGGGAGTGCTGGGCTGGGCACACTTGTTTGCAGATGTAGGGTTGCTAGGACTTGACTCCTTGTTGTCAATTTTAGTTTGGCAAGTGCACTGAAGCGTGGCTTGATAGATTTTTAATGCACATCCTGGACAGAGAGTCTCTGTGATGCACTGGGGCAGCACCCGGCAGAGAACTGAGACAGATTTCTCTTTGCCTTTCTCCCCTTCATACAACTTGGGGAATTTGTTTTGCTTTTGGCCTCCTGTGTTGCAGTACATGGGACAAACAGTCACACGCTGGGATGAAACCTCAGTGGAAGCAGCTGTGTCGAAAGAAGAAGAGATGAAGACTGGTCCAATGTGGCACCATTGAAATCAACGGCAAAATGCCCACTGATGTCAGGAGGGTCCGGATTTCACCCTGGAACTTTTGGGGACATATTATTTGGTTGCGTTTTGAAATGAATCTCATGGGCAATCCCTATCTCGGGGGTGGGGGTGTGTGGGGGCTGATCGTTTGTATTGCCGAACCTTATTATTTTTTTATTGAGGAAAATAACGTTTCTCATTTGTGCGACGTATCAGAAATGGCCTATCTGGAGCCGACGCTTTCTCTGATTTGACGTGTCTATTTCACAGTTTTCATGAGTGAAAAGCTGAGCGACGGAACTGGAAGAAGGAACTCCCCGGATCTGGCAAAACGCGCCATGGGACCTGCATGTTCTCAGCACCCTGGAGGCGGTAGTCACACCTGCCCAACAGCTAGGTTGGCATACAGGGGCTGGAGGCCTGGGGCAAGCTGCCTCCCAGGGAATTCCCCATGCAAGTGGTCTCCATGCCCAGTGCAGAGCCGGTTCCACCATCTCTACCCCACCTCCATGGGAGCCCCAGGATAGGAGCAGGTCAGCAGGGGGCGGACAAATGCAAGCGGAGGTTTGGCCTGGGGATTCTTATGTCGTGAGTACTTTGTGAGCGATAGGAGCCATTGAGAGAGGGGCACAGGGTGGCACACCCTCAGGGCTGTCCTAGCCTGCACTGGGGGCCACAACTGCCCCAGGCCTGGGAGAGTGGGAGCCACCTTCCCTCCGTCCCTGAGCCAGCGTCACTGCTGACACAGAGATGTTCATGGGCACTCCGTGTGCCGAAGGCCCATGGACGGATGCTGGGCCATGGTTAGGCAGGGACGGAAGGAAGGTGGCTCTGCTGGGATATTTTTCCACATTGTTACTTGACTTCTCTTGCTGCCCTGGGCAAGCCACATAACCTTGCTCTGCCCCTCGTGTTTCCCTTCTGTCAAATGGGGCCAATGACCCTTCCCCGCCCTGGAGCGGTGCCGGCAGGCTCAGCCCCTTAACGTCTGGGACGCTCTTTGAGATCCTCAGCCGCTAGAAACGTGCCAAGCAAGAAACAAATAAGGGGAAGGGGGAAAGGCAGGTCAAATTTTGGGCCCATTCATCTTTACTGCTGCCTCTTTAAGCCCTCGGCTCACGGGGAGGGGCGAGGTGTCACCGCAGCCCCCACCTTGCTTTGATCCCATGCCAGAACCTGTCCCTGGTAAGGACTGATTCCCTTCCCCCGCCTGCGGGGTACCTCTCAGCATGCTCTGGGCTCTCCCCGGCCCAGCAGGGGCGGCACCTGAGGCTAAGATCTCTCCTGGGTTATGCTGAAGATGCGCTCGAGATCAGAGTGCAGAAAGGAGAGGGAAGGATGGGCGAACCTGCCTGGTTATCTTTAATTAATCCCTTAGCCACAGAAGATGGGCGGTAACCAAATCAGTCCTTCCTCTTCACCCCGCCCATCCCCACCATCGCACTCCTTGCCACTTGGATGGAGCTTTCCATCCGCTGGGGGGGATCAGATCTGGGGGTCGTGTTTGGGAGCCATCTCTGGTTCCCACCTCCCATGCCCTGTGCTGCGTTTGTCCATTGCTGTCCCCACTACCCAGACATCTCACGTTGCCACCGACGGATGGAGCAACGGGGACGAAAGCTGAACAGGAGATCGGCAACTGAACTGAAGAAATGATCTCGGTACAGAATTTATAATCAACTCTTCTTCTGGTGAAAGGGGAAGAAAGGCACCAATGCCATTGGGCGCCCCCAAACAATTAGCAGAGCCCTGCCTGCCCCAGCAGCAGCCGCTTCCCCACACAAGTTGCGTATCGAGAGGTGATGTACCGAAAAAGGCACTGGGGAGGTACTCCCCCGATGGGGGTATGGGAGGAGAAAAGGGGGCGTGGCACCTCTGTGTGACGGTTGTGCAATGCGGTAGCCCCATCCACTCCAGTCCTGACTCTTCCCCGCCAGCCACAAAGTAGCAGCAGATCTGACCTGCCGATCCCTTGCTCAGATTTCATATGGAAGTGCAGTTGTGGTCATGCAAAGGAGCGTAGCGCTGTAAAAACAGCCCCTTCTTACCCATCAGCTTTGCCCCACTGGGGTAGCCCAGAGTCCTATCTGCTTATAATGTTTGTTTTATTCCCATGAGCCCAGCAGAACTAATACAGCTGTAGAGGAGGGGGGCTGGAGTTTGTTCTTTCACCATGAACCGAACGACCGAAGTTCCTATAATGTGGGGGAAGGAAAGAACCCAGCTTGCCTCTCAGACGCCCCGGATCCCATTAGGAAAAGCACCACTGCAGTTGGCAAAGTGAGCGCTTTCGGACAGTCCCTTTTCGGAGCAGAACCAAATGTAAGGGGAGGCCACGGCAGCTGCTTCTTCGGAGCATCTTAGGAGGGAATTCTCCCCCGCCCAGCGATGTGCAATTCACATCCCTTTGTGGCTAAGACTTGGCCATCCATGAGTAAAGGGCTAGATACAGAAACTTGTTCACAACACCCACTCCCATTTCATTATTGCTTACCATGGAAGAGACTTAGACACTGTCAGCGACGGAGCAGACACACCCTTGTTCAGAACACAACAGGTTTATATTAAATAATAAACAGGAAGGATCAGTCGCTTTTATTTCCCAGGCTAGTCTTGCACTGGCTAGGGGGCCTCTAAGCTTTCCTGGCATGGATGGATACACTGGTTTGGTTTAGGGGGTGCTGACCCAAATGCAAGAGGAGGTACCTATCGCCTCATCTTCAAGGATCTGTTGTAGCTTTCAACAGATCTCAGCTGCGATCTAGATGAAGCCACAAACCTGCGGTTTGGTGCATAAGAAACAGTTAAAAAAGGACCCCTCCTGGCCCAGATCTGATTTCCATCCCAGTCCTGCCAGAATCAGAGCGCTGGCTACGTGACACCCAGCTTGTTGTCTCAGACACGGTGGCAGGATCACGTGCATAGGAATCGAAAAAGCTTCTGCCTAAGACCCTCTTAGCCTGATTTGCTTGGTGATGCAGCCATGACTTTTAACCAGGATGCTTTGCTGCCCTGGAATCCCCCCTTCTTTTTTTTCTGAACTGACGTTAGCAAATGATGTCGAGGGGACAGGAACGAATGTTGGAGGAGGAATGAGCAGATGGGCCATGGCTACTAATGCTCTTAGATCCGAAAGTCAGAGGTGGGAACCATCAAGAAGTGGGAGTAAGTTGATGTAACTTCCCCGGGATAGGGTGGAAGGGTGGCAGCGAGAAAAACAGCCATTCTAGTCGGAGACATAGAATCAGCTAAGTCTCCCCCTATGGCGGGTAAGTTACGACCCACCCTGCCTTATCAATGTGTCAATGGTACCAGCGTTTATATCACCTCTGGCTTTGATCCACCAGTAGAAAACATACAATCCTTTCCAGCTGGCCTAAGAGCAGGGACTCGTCCCCGGCACAGACAGATGTTGCCAGACCTCCCCACAGGTTGCAGCAGAGTCCTGCATCCCATGGGATTTGAGACCAGCCCATGGGATTACAGAAGGATTACATTGGGCGTCATGTCACAACGCCATTGACGTCACGACATGTAACAACGATGCAGCCAAGCGCTGACGCCGTGGCGAGATGTTAAGCGGCAGACATTACGATGTAGCCACTTTGGGAGCTGGTAGGCGGCCGATGCTAGGAAACTGGAAGTGCATCTTTTAGAGAAACGCAGCGAAGGTCCTGGGGAGGAGGAGATGGAAACATGAAGAAGACCCCTGTCCAAGGCCCCCGAGGACATATCTTGAGTTCTGCTTGCGTCTTTGGCTGGGAATCTTTTGTGTGTGTAACTGACCGACCGGCATAGAAGGTACAAAGTTGGGAGTGCGCACCAACACACACACACGTCCACACTCTTACAAGCGCCTCTTAACCTCCATTGCAGCTGCAAAGCTAATCCCAATGTGTCTGATGTCCCGGCGCGTCTGGCTCACCAGGACAGTGTGGGGGGAGGTTAGAAGCGCAGCGGGGTGCACAGCCCATGTATTTATCTAGGGCAGGGTGTGGGCAGGGAGATGTGCTAAGAGGACACTAAGTCCACCTGTCAGTCCAGAGAGGTATAAATAGAGAGATGCAAACGGAGACGGGATCTGCCTGCACCAGAGCCCTTCAGGTGCTCACCTCTCCGGCGGCTGTTGAAAAAGCTATCCGTGTATTCGCTTCAAGTTTCACATTTCATGGAGTTGTTGCAAAATGATGCAAAAGAGTTTCTCAATGAAAGGAGCATTAGAGACAGCTTACCAGCTTACACCCCTGTATCTCTCTCTCTCTATATGTCCATATACCCACGCACAGACATACTCGTCTGCATGTACATTTGTGCGTCCAACGTACTCCCAGTCTATCGGGCTGTCCCTTTTGGTATTTGTCTGTTGAATGTGAATAAAATCTGAAGGTTTTTCTTCGTCTGGTTTTGCTGGTCTCCATACGGTTCCTCTCTGTATTAAAAAAAGAAGGGTCCTCAGTGTTGTGTGTGCATTGGTGCGGGGAGTTACACAGAGCTGCGGCGCTTCATGAAGCCGTGCAAGGCCGAGAGGCTGTGGAGTCCCGTGGAGACGGAGCTGATGGCCGAGCGCTGGGCGTTGCAGAAGCATCTGTTGGATGGGGTGTCGGGGTAGCGGCTAGGCGAGGAGTGGCTCTGCTCCACGCACGTGTCCGAGGTGGACAGGTCCCTGGGGATGATCATAGGGATGGAGTACTGCAGCTTCTCCCGGCTCTTGTACCACAGACATGAGCACATGGACTGGAAGTGGAGCACCTCCGCGTACACGTTGCGGAATCCGCCCCCGCCCCCTCCCCCGCCGCACCCGCCCACCGCGGTGGTAGACGAGGTGGTGTCTGTGGTGTGCACGCTGCTGGCCTGTCCGTTGTGGGTGAGCAGCGCTCGGTGCTCGGCATCCCGCTTCTCATCCTCGGCATTCATGGTCATGAACCGCAGCACCACCAGGTTGAGGAAGGCCCCGATGACGGTCAGCCCTGTCAGGATGTAGACGAAGCTGAAGGCCACGTACTGGGGTTTGGTCTGCAGTGCCTCATCCTTCTGGAGCGCCACGTAGTCCCCAAAGCCGATGGTGGTGAGGGTAATGAAACAGTAGTAGTAGGCGTGGAAGAAGCTCCAGTGCTCGTAGTAGGAAAACGCCGCGGCCCCAATGCACAGGGTGCTGATGCAGGAGAAGAACCCAATGGTGACCATGTTGGCCATGGACACCTCTGTCCGTCTCATGCCAAGGCACTTCTTGATGCGGTGCAGAAGGTATTTGACAAAGGTGTTGATCCTCTCCCCCAGGCTCTGGAACATGACGAGTGTGAGTGGGATCCCCAGCAGGGCGTAGAACATGCAGAAGACTTTCCCGCCATCCGTGCTTGGGGCCGCATGGCCGTACCCTACGGAGCATAAATACAAAGCACATGGCCTGGTTAGTACACTCCAAACGCTACTCTCATCCCATCTTCCCTTCCTTTGCTATTGTTCAGGGGTGTCCAGATGGGCCATACCAATGGGTTCCCCTAAATGCATTGGAGCAAACTACCAATGGAAGTGGTGGATTCTCCATCTCTTGATGCCTTCATGGCTGCCTTTTTGGAAGAGGCTGTAAGTCAAACCCAAGTTACTGGGCTCAATGAAGACGTAACTGGGTGAAATTCTCTGGACTTGGTATACAGCTCAGGCGAGCGGATCTAACAGTCCCTTCTGGACTTAAACTCTGTGACTCTATGAATCCTTTCTGCAGGATATTACTATTATTTATCTTTATTATGATAGCTCCTAGAGACCCCAACCACGATCAGGACCCCATTGTGCTGGGCACTGCACAGATACACAGAAAGAGGCAGTCCCTCTCCCAAAGAGATTACAATCTGCACGGACAAGACAAAGGGTGGGAGGAAAGGCAAACGCCCAGCGCCCAGGACATCTGCTGCTGCGGTACTTGCAGCTTCGTCAAGGGATGATTAGAAATTGCTTGTCAACTGCGTCCAACAGCAATAAAAACCCGCAGCTGATCAGCTTTATCTTCATCCTGCGGTTACAAGGAATAATTACAGATGGCTTTACAGACTAAGAGGATAGCATGACCTCAACAAAGAAAAAGGAGGGGAAAAAAAGGAAAAGAAAGACCATATAAAGCCTATGACATGATCAAAAAGCCAGCGGAGGTTCACAAGACCTGGGCTCTGAGAGTTTCACTGGCCTCTACGGATTGTACTGTCGCCCCTGGCTTGGAGGAGAAGACTTGCTAGTAATCAGTTGCCCTGATCTGAGACATGGGCCACGACCAAACCCTCGAAGCTCACCGTCGTCCCCGACCCTTTGTTTGAACACTAGCTTGTCTTAGAACACAACCTTGAGAAATCACGTTAACTAACTTGAGACACAACACATCTTGCATCTCGGCAGGGGGTTAGACTGTGGTCCCTTCTAACCCTCTGGTTCTATGATTCTAACCTGGGGTGAAGCACTGGCCTGGTTGAAGTCAAAAGCAGAACTCCCACTGACTTCAGTAGGGCCAGAATTTCACCCACCCGACTGGCACTCAGTGTGGATGGGTGCCAGGGCATTTAACATCATGTCAGTGGGTGGTGGTCAGATTAACTCTATGATTCTAGTAGGCTTTACCCATGAGCAGCTGACACAGTGTTAAACATCACGGTGCCTGTCTACACTGACAACAAAGTCATGTTTAACCTCTTAGGTAACATGACTTTGGAAGGTCATGACCTCATTCTCTAGTGAAGACGAGCCGGAGCTTGGATCCAGATTTGGGTCTGAACTTGGCATTTCACCCCTTATCTAACGCTGAACTGAACCCCTGGATCTAAACGTCCCCCCAAATTCTGGAGAAGGGCCCATCCGGATGACTGGGGATGGATCACTCGCTAATTACCCTGTTCTGTTCATTCCCCCCGTAGCATCTGGCATTGGCCACTTTCAGAAGACAGGATACTGGTCTAGAGGGGCCATAGGTCTGCCCCAATATGGCCGTTCTAATGTACTTCTTGCCCTACCTTCAGTGGCCATGGAGAACAATTGATCGCCATCCTCTCTAGAACAGCCCAGAACATATGTGAAGACTGTTATCAGGTCCCCCCCAATCCTCTTTTCTCAAGACTAACCAGGCCCAGTGTTTTTAACCTTTCCTCAAAGGTCAGGTTTGCTAAACCTTGGATCAGTTTTGTTGCTCTCCTCTGGACTCTCTCCAATTTGCCCACATCTTTCCTAAAGTGCAGCACCCAGAACTGGACACAGTGCTCCGGCTGAGCTCTCCCCAGTGCTGAGTGGGGCGGGACACTTACTGCCCTCGTCTAACACACGACACTCCTGTTAATACACCCCAGATGGAGCCTTTTTCACACCTGCCTCACATGGTTGGCGCATGTTCATCTTATGATCCACTGTCCCCCCCAGATTCTTACAACGCCCATAAGTCATGGCAGAACAAAGCCAAGAACTGAGCGGCCCATCGAGTTGCCTGTTTCTGAGGAGGTGGGAGGAGGGCTAGGAGAGGAGGTGGAGTTTGAAGGCAAGCGCGAAGGGAAAAGGGAGACTTCGCCCGGGCATGAGCGAAGGCGTGAAAGTGTTTGTGAGAGGAAGGGATGGCGAGGTGCAGACCAAGCAAGGGCAGGAGTGGGAGGAAATGAGATGGGTGACGTAGAGCGTGGGGA